TCTCCCTAACACCTAATGTTCCTTTTCCTATTAACTCTGGCTAGCACTTTGTAATCTGCATTCCTACAAACAACATTAACATACTTTTCTTCTTCCTGTTCAGAGACAAACAGTATTCCTTCAACTTATTCAATTATTGCAGCATAATTCATCTTTCTCTTATAGTATAATTCTTTCTACTTGCACAGCCCAAAATGGAGTTGGGGGCATTGCAGGGTTATTTTAGAGGGGGTTGTGGTGCTGTTACCCTTACTTCTGCATTGCTGCTGGCAGGGGCACTTCCTTCAGAAGTGGGCAGCACAGCCCAAAATGGAGTTGGGGGCATTGCAGGGTTATTTTAGAGGGGGTTGTGGTGCTGTTACCCTTACTTCTGCATTGCTGCTGGCAGGGGCACTTCCTTCAGAAGTGGGCAGCTGGAGCGGGGTGGCTATCATCTGAGAGGCCAACTCTGAAGGCAGAGCCACCCGCAGCAGCAGCAGAGCAGAAGGAAGGATGATATGGTAGGGTATAGCCACCCTTACTCCTACTCTGCTGCAGGTGGAGCACTACCCTCAAAGCTGGGCCCTCAATAAGCAGCCCCCATTGGCTGCCCAGCTTGGAAAGCAGTGCAGAAGGCAGGATGGCAATACTGCAACATCCCTAAAATAACCTTGCAAACACCCTGGATCTCCCTTTTGAGTCAGGATCCCCAGTTTGAGAAACACTCCTCTCTGGAGTGCAGTACAGGGTAAAAACCCACAAAAAAAACCCAATCTCACTGCAGGAGAGCAGGAATCTCAGTCTGTGACATGTCTTTCATGGCCATGAATTTGGTAGATCCCTAGTAATGAGAAAAGGCAGCAAGTGAATGAAACAAACCATCTGGAGTCTGAAGGCTGGGACAGGATGATGAGGGGGAAAGTAAATCTCACAGATTATGTGTCCTGGGATGAGTGTGAGGCTGCAAAGATGTTGGTTTCATTGTTGATAGCTGCATGAATGAGCGAGAAAAGAGAAGGTTTCAGATTTGTTTATTTTTATCTTACTATATATTTTAGAAATGTCCGTCGGTCCTTCCATCCCTCTGTGAGTCTATTCAAGAACTTCACTGTGGCTGGAAGTGGGGTGGCCTAGTGGTTAGGTCCCAGAATTAGCCAGCAGAAAAGGGGTGCAGACCCCTGCTGCTGGTGCCCCAGCCTAGAAACTCCAGCCCACTATGTGAGTATGGTCCTTAAGATTGGGGCCTGGCAACAAGAGTTCAGAGTTTCCCCTTAGCAAGGGTTCTTTGTCCCGAGTGGTGGGGGGCTTATTTGCTCCTGTGGCTGGCCAAGTGGACAGGCTTTGGTTCCTATCCTGTAGTCAGCAGAATCACACTCCTGTCTCCTTGCTGGTCCGCCCCTAACTGAGCCTTTTATCCTTTCTCCAGTCCTGGCATTGGCTACAGGTATAGCGGGGTGGGGCTTGCTGGACCAAAAGGCTTTATTGATTCCTGTCATGCCAGGCCCTCCCCTCTCCACTCCGTCACATTCACCTAAGTGGTAAGAGCTAGGACCAGAAAATTTGGTAGGCAGTTTCCTCATATCAGAAGTTAAAGTAAGTCAGGGTTTGGTTGTGCCAGGACAATGGGATGTGCCTGGAATTCAATTGTTTCTCATAAAATGGAAAGGGAGGGGTCTGGCAAGAGGGACAGTTATACTGCAGAATGACCACAGGGGGGGACAAAGGGCTGGAGATGGGGACCATGCCAGCTATAACCCCATTGGGACAGTAAGAGGGAAGGGTAGAGAAAGGGACAGCTGACTACTATATATTTCAGAGGGTTTGTCTGTTCATCTGTATGTCTGTTTGTCCTCCAGCCAGGGAACATGCACCCCTCCCCTGGCTGTGCCTGCTGTAACAGTAGTGGTCATGCACAGGCGTCTCACTTGGCCCCAGACTGCTACAATGGGAGAGGGCTGGGGTTGTCTTCTCTCCCTGCATAGCCTGCATACTGAACCCCCTCTTCCCCAGCCCCACTCCAAAGCAATGAATTAAATAGGAAAAATAATACAAAAATATATTTAAGTTAAGGCCCCAAACATTGCGGGTAAATCTTCTAGTTTGAAATACCTGAGGCTACGTCTAGACTGCATCCCTCTGTCGACAGAGGGATGCAAATGAAGCACATCAAAAGTGCTAATGAAGCAGGGATTTAAATATCTTTAGGGACTTCATTAGTATAAACATGGCTGCCACTTTTTTTCAAAACAGAGCTTTTTCGAACCCCGCCCCCAGCAGTCTCTGTCGAAAATAAACCGTTTTTCGATAGATCCTGTATTCCTCAAAAAATGAAGTTTACACCCCTGAGGGTGTGTCTAGTCAGGGTGTGTCTAGACTACATGGCTCCATAGACGGAGCCATGTAGATTAGGCAGGACGACAAAGGGAAATGAAGCGGCGATTTAAATAATCGCTGCTTCATTTAAATCAAAATGGCCGCCACACTGCGCCAATCAGCTGTTTGTCGGCACAGCCCGGCAGTCTAGACAGGAATCTGCCGACCCCAGAACCCTTCATTGGCAGATCCTGTAAGCCTCGTTTCATGAGTCATAAGAGAGTGGTCGACAAAGGCTTCCCTTGTTGAGCAATCCATGTCTTTACTCGCGCGTTGTGCCAATGATCAGCTGAGCCGGCACAGCACGGTGACCATTTTTATTTTAATGAAGCTGGGGATATTTAAATACCTGTTTCATTGACTATGTCGGGTAGCCTATTTTACATGCCTCTGTTGGCAGAGGCATGTAATCTAGACATAC